GCCATCACCCTCGGATAATGATTTTAGCAAGGAAGGAAACTTTGTGCTCGAATAGTCTAGGCTTGGTGGATAGGATTTATTATAAGGGTCATACGGTCAAATGAACCATACGCACATAGACCACTTAAGCCATAACACGAAACTTGTACACATTTACAATCCTGTATGTTGCGCACAAAAATGAAAGAAAGTTTCTACCTTATAGTTCCATATTTTGTCTCCTAAAAACCACTACATTTTGTTCCTTAAGGACATCGAGCCCAAGGGCCACCTCTGTCCGGATCAAAGAGATCATCCCTACTCGGGGACTGTAGTCCAAGACAAACTTGGACGGCTCGGGTTGTCAAAGCCTGGGGGCACAAAAACCTATCAGGCAATGCCCGAACCTTAACGGTTATGGCCACCCCTATTTCGGGGACTGTCGTCCTGGGTATGCCCGAACAACTCGAGTAACAAAACCCGGGGTAATAAGCCTATTGGGCAGTATCCGAACTTACGGCCATCCTAAAAACAGCTCGGAGACGTCCGAAACCCGTAACCAAAACATAAGGCCTTAAAAATTTGCAAATCGGTTCAAAGGCTACCCTCGGGAAAAGCTTTCGGTCATACCAATCCCCCGCGAGTCTTAAGAAAAATTACATCGAGCCTTGTTCGGTCATACCAAGCCCCCGCGAGTCTTAAGCTTTCGGTCATCACCGGGGCCATCGGGGTCTTCTCCGCCCTTGGATCCGCCGGAACCCTCAGAGCCTTCCTCGTCCTCGGGATATGCCAACATCTTGGCCTCGGCCTCGAGCCTCTTAGCATTTTCGATCTCGGTTGATAGGTCGTAACCCCGGGCATGAACTTCCTCGAGAGCCTCCCTTTGGGGCTGCCACTTCACATATTCAACAATGTCCTTCAGGCGGTCCTGGTTGCCTCAGCATCAGCTTTGTACTGGGCCACCATCTCTTCGGCATCGCCCCTGGTTATTTCCGCCACTAACTTGGCTACTTTAAGCTCCTTGGCAAGGGTATCCCGTTTGGCAACAGCCAAGCCTAGTTGAGACTGGAGGTCTTCAATTTTTGGGAACCGGGCCTCAGCTTTCTCCCTCGCCGTTCAAAATTGGGCCTCTGCGAGGCCAGCTGTTACCGGGTACTCTCCTTTTCTGAAGCCAAACGATCCATCTTGCCTTTCCACTCTTCGTCCTCTGCCTTGATTACGTCCATCTCGGCTCGGAGTTGGTTGATCCGGTCAAGCTTCTGTTGGACCTGCGGGTTTTGACCGTTAGTCGCCATGTCTAGCTCGTCATCACTAACTTCAAAAATCTTTACCTATTCCACCAGGTTGGCATGTTATTTCTGAGACGCATCCAACTCGGCTCGAAAGTTCTTGACTTCTCCTTCGTGTTGCTCACTGAGAAGCTTATACATGTCCCTCTTCTCAGCAAGCTCTTTGACTTCGGCCTCAAGTTGGCTAAGCTCATCCCGGTACCGGAGAAACGTTTCATGGTGAAGCACCGAGGCCTGCAAAATGAGGAAAGGAAAAGGCATTAGAGTCCTCAAAAACTGAATCTAAAGATAAAAGATCACGATAACACCTTACCCGTTTCAGCGCATGTTGTGCTTCATTGAACAAGCATGGCACATCCACCTCATTCATTTTTGCCTGGTCTTCTTCGGTTACAAGACACTGGAGGTAACTAGCTATCCTGACAGGGGCGAAAAGAACTCGGGAATCCTCCGGAACAATGATAATAAATGATCGCTTTCGACCAGGATCCGTGCTCGGGGCGAGGAACCAGTTAATCAGCCTCGGGCTCAAGTTAGGCCCACCAACCTTCGAGGATGAACTTTTCCTCACCACCTCTAAGTCACCTAACCCGGTGACGTCTTCCAGGGCGGTTGAGTCCATAATTTCAAAAAAGCAGCGGAGGGGATTGTTCGCTCTCTGAGCCCTTTCGTTAGGTTGCTCTTTCACCGTTCGGGCCTCATTGAAGATGGACTCGGTAAACAAAGGCGACGCGGTAATATCTATCATGCCGAGTGCCTCCTTCGGGGCATTACCGACATCCCGGGAAGTCTCGGCCCCAGCCTTATCATCAACCTCCCTAACCAGAGGGAAATTGGTGTCATGGGTCTCCTGTTCAACGGCTCCCTGCTCTTCGGGAGGGGGGGGGATCGCGGGCTGCAAAAGGCTCTTTCTCCTCGGACTCATCGCTAGGCTGGTAGAACAAGTCCGAATATGGTGCTTGAGAGTTGGAGCTCTCCTTTGGCTTACGAGCCAATCTTCTCTTTGGCTTTTTCTTCTCTGAACTCGGGGAACCCAGAGCCTTTCTTTTCTTCTTCTTCTCTCCTGCTGCAGCCCCTAGCTGCCCCAAAACAAAGGAGTCAATGGGCAAGTCCTCACCCCCGACGGCCTGAAGCCCAATACAACTTGCTCGGTAAAGAAATCTTACCATGGGAACGGGCCTCCCAACGGTCTCTCGAGAGTTTGCACCACGAGCGCTCGGAGTAGGGCATCTGTGACACAATATCCTCGATCCACTCCTTGAGCCGAGGGATAGCGTTTGGAACTCGAGCAAAGGCTGCACCACAGCAAACACCGATAAGAAAAGGGAAGATAAAACATAAAATCGACGTTTAAAAGGAGTTCTACTTACGTGATACGTTCCACTTCTCGGGGAACGGCCTCCACTCGGCATGTATCAGGTCGGCGGTCCTCACCCGGACAAAGCGTCCTTGCCAACCTCGATCCCGGTCCTCGTCGATGCTTGAAAATGGGGCTTTGTTGGCCCGGCGTACAAGCTTTATCAGTCCCCCCTGGAAGATTCGGGGACTGTACAAGCGGAGTAGATGACCGATGGTGAACGTGCACGCATCGATTTTGTTCATAAAGAGTCAGAGGATGATCACGATCCTCCACAGCGATGGGTGAATTTGGCCGAGGCATTTGTTATACCTCCTGCAGAAATCTAAGATGATCGGCTCCACCGGGCCCAATGTAAATGGATAAGTGTAAACACTCAGATATCCCTCAACATGGGTGGTAATGGCCTCCTCGGAGTCGGGGAGCACTATGTCCTTGTCGGCCTAGTTGCAGTCCTTTCAGACCATGGGGAAGTCCTCTTCGGTGATCGAGAAAATATATCTCGAGGCCTCCTCACGTCGAACCTGTACGTAGAAGGCTTCTCAATCTTGAAGTCGTCGGTGACCGAACAACCCCCATGAATGAACATCTTAAAGGGAGGTTCAGCGGCCAATTCATTGGTAGACATGTCAGCAGTGGACTTCTCGAGGTCGACCACATCGGGAATGGTCTTATTAATTTCGGCAGTCGGTTGGGAAGTAAAAGCACCCTTTTGGGGAATAGATTTGGAGGTTTTGGCCATTGTTATCTGAAAAGGCTTGAAAAAGATAGAGAAAGGTTGAAAGTTGAAAGCTCATATGTGTTGGATTGGATAGAGAACGAGTGAAAGCTTACGATTTACTAAGGAATCTTGAGTAACGAAGGTAAAATTACTAGAGTATAGAAAAAGGGGTAGTGAAATCCTGAAGGCACGAGGGTAGAACTTTGGACGTAAAGTAAAAAATGAACGAATGAGGGAATGTTTATAGAGGCTCCGCGACGCTTCGCATCCAGGGACAGCCAACCGACGGCTGACATGCAGTTGAGGTCATAATGACATGACTGACAAGACGTTTCTGGTTTTTTGTCATTTTTGTCACGACGTATTGAAGAAGGAATCGAGGAGTTTATGTCGTTTCTCATCAACTTACTCTCCGAGAACGAGGGAACTATCTGTATGCGGGTAAAACCGAGCTCATGGTATACCCTGGCTTTCGATAAGATAAATCGAGCTAGAGACATGATGACGAGGAACTGAGGCAAGGGTCTCGTCGAGTCAGAGTCCGGGGGAGTGACACCCACCCTCGAGAATATCGGGGCCATGATCCGGGATCGGTCTAAATCCCAAAAGACTTCAGAGGACGTTGTCGGGCAACCAAGCACGACCAACAGAAGGTTGTGATATCCGCGACCGGCTGGATATCACGGAGCAGATCTCGGCACGCATCGATAGAGAACCCGTGATTAGTTAAATAGAAGATTTCTTACCTTTTATAGAAGTGTACTTGGGGTAAAACTCCCTTACTATATAAAGGGGAGTCTGATTATTCTTTTGACACATTGTAACACACCCATACCAAGGCAATACACTATTATTTTCTTCGTTCTTATTATTGTTCATCAGTGCTGGTCATTGTGAGTCCGGATCGGAGGTGAATATTTCATTGAGGCTAGAATCATCTTCCTAATGTGGTTTGAATTTACGATATCTTTATTTATTTAATCTAACGCATTTTACCGTTTGTATCGAGTTAATCCGCGTATCCTTAAAACCACTTACAAATCCAATTGTTATCTATTTTTGAGGGTAAACAGAGGGGAATAACTAATCTTAGAACCTATTTGCTTTTTTTTTTCTTTTTCTTTTTTCTTCTGTACGTCTGAGTATAAACTTAAAAAATAATTGATTAGTAACAGGTTGTAAAGCAAGAAAGTTATACATTGGGGAGGAACCATTTGGATCTTCAATATTGAAGAGCGTAGGACCAATTGTCACAAACGCAAATGCCTAGTTGAAGACGAAAAGAGTATTATTACAATAGATAACCGCGGCCATTTTGATCCAATTAGGTGCAAGGTTAGTGCTGCCAATATGATCTCTCCGCCCTTAAACAAAGGTCTTCGTAACGGAAAGAAATCTTGATAGAAAATAGCTCCCCTCTTAACGGGTCTTACACTCCTTATTAGTTTGAACCCCAAAGCGGGTATCGAATATCAGGTGAGAAACCGAACCCCAATGCGGATATCGAATATCGGGTGAGGAAAAAAAAAAGCTTTTAGTACATGCAGTTTTTGTGATCAAACTTTGGCAACTTGATCCTAACGGCACTACTAAGAGCCACTCAATGTGTGGTTATCCCCAGAAGCAAGTTGCTTCGGTTTTCAGTAGACAACCATAGAAGTGTGAATAATGGCCTTCCGTGACCCAAATAAATTATACAGATTTCACAAATCAGGTAGTTCTCTCAAATTGCTCAGATACAATACTGTGTTCAAGAAATGGCAAATTGATGGTACATCTTACGCTTCGCATTATTGGATTCTATACAGCATATGGCTTTTAAATGATAAAATGAATTCAGAAAACATAGAAGATTTGCAGCCTGTGATATACCCAGTCATTGAATAACTCCTGTTATATACCCAGCCTGTGATTTTGCAGCCTGTGATATACCAAATGGGAATTTCCTGTGATCATGGAGCGCAAGACTAGCTGCGGAACAATCTCTGGAACCTACTGAACTAGGGAGGCAAACTCATTTACTTACGTCTAACTATCTAACTAATCTGAAGAAAAAATATGTGCTGTATGTGCCAAGTCTTTTCTTATTTTACCTCCAGCGATCCTGTTACTGAGCTTTCAGAAAGCCTCTGTCCTCCATGTATGTGACAACTTGCCCAGCCATCTCATGTGGTGTCGGAACTACTCCATCTTTTTCTTGTATTTCAATCTAGCAGAAACCACCACCCAGAAATTGTCAGTCAGTTTCTGAAGAAAAGTTGTTACAAGAACACAGAAGCAAATTAAGATATATCTTAAAACATTAAAATCAAAGAATGTAACAGGGTACCTCACAGTTCAACGGCGGTTCATAAGGATCATCTATTCCGGTAAAACCTGCAAAACGAAAGGCTCTGAGTTATAAGAAGTTCATTTTCCTCTGAGGTACTGAACTTCAAGAGAGTTTTGAAGCAATGCAGCCTAGGCCGATGTAAATCTGCCATCTACACAGGCAAGCAAAATTCTGAAGAATTGCCCTTAGTTACTCCAACTGAAATGATGCCAATTATCCAGTGCGACATACAACAACAACATACCCAATATTATCCCACACCGTGGGTATCCAGTGCGACATAGGAGAAAAAAATTTCATTCTGGTTTCAGGGCAAAGATAGAATTGAACTAGACAAATCAGTCCTCTGAGAAATGTCCTATCGTTAATGAACTTTTAGTTTCATCAACTTTTAACCACATGAAGCATGGCAACAAGCAGTACACAAATATTACACCTGGTTTTTATCAGAATAAAACCTGACAGGTGCAATTTACCGCTGTGTGTCTAACATCTCATGAATGAGACTTCACAACCAATTGAGTTGCTCTTCTTTTTTAAGACTCCAGATTTCAAAGAGAGATGGAAACTGTATATGCTACTACCCTGAAGCTAATACCAACCTTTGATCTTTCCAGCACGAGCAAGCTTGTACAGGCCTTTTGGATCTCTTCCTTCACACAGTTCCAGAGGCATATTCATAAAAACCTGGAAAGTCGAATAAAATGAGTTAAAATTGCAAATATTTCCATAAGAATGTAAAGTATGGAAACTTTGCCTCAATAAAACTTTTATCCGGAAATAATGCTCGGCAAGCATCACGATCCTTTCTGTAAGGAGATATCAAACTTGCAATGCATATTAATCCAGCATCTGCAAAGAGCTTTGAAACTTCACCTGGAAAATTTTAGAAACAGGACAGGTAAATGTAGGAAATGCAACATATGTCATACGTCAATGCAGAACATCTAGAAAAATTCAAATTAAATGAATGGGAAACTATAATTGGTTTCACTTAAGTCATTGTCTTCATGATAGCTGCACAGTTAAATAAAGATAAAAACATAGTTTTCTCAAGGCTGGAGCTGTTTCCGCTTAACAAATATATAAATGTCGAAATACACAAGATATTCTAGATGTGGTTAGCAGAAGAGTCACTAGTTATTAGCCTCAAGGTAGAGATGAGCAGCATAGACTCTTAAAAATCATCTGTCGAAAGTCTTCAATGGTTTCTCTAAGAAAGCATCAACTTTTATTTTAGCATAGATGGTATCTCTTCATTCTTCATGATATTGACCACAATTCTGATCCCTATGAGCATTTTTCGTCTAGTATGATAATTCAAATGAAAGATTATAAACATCAGATCTAATGCGTGAATTTATAACGAGAGGCGTGCTCATCATGCTATCTACGTATTCGGGGATGCTAGGCACAGCAGTTCTTTTTAAGGACATGAAGGAAGGGTGAATTTCGACCTCATCATTTTTCCTTTCTCCTTCCAAATTTTCCCTTCCTCGCTAACTCCCCCCCCCCCCCCAACCCCCATCCCAATATAAAAAAAGGAATTCTAAAGTGTAGATATCCCTGGAAAATTTCAAGACTGAATATCTTCTTTTGATTATAGGTGTAATCAATCTGAGCAGAGTTGAGTCCCAAATAACCAAGCGAGAATCCAGAATTCCACCAGCCAAACTCAAGCTGGACTTGAATTCTAAAACTTGTCCAAATTAAGCTCTAGTGTGACTCTAAATAACTTAATGTAGAGTTTTGTTGTGAAAGACTCCTTTCATCAATGGCTCGACGTTTAATCATTAACCTCATCATTAGAGTCCAGCTGAAACAACTGTACAACATATTTTCCTCAGGTCGTCTAAGAGTCTGGTTCTCTAAGCATCTCAAGTTTAAATTAATAGTAAATCCATGAAACTCATGGTAGTTTCACTTTGTTCTTCAAAAGTACACTTACCAACTCTACGTATATTTTCAGTCCGATCTTCTGCCGAGAATCCAAGATTCTTGTTCAGACCATGCCTAAGGTTGTCACCATCAAGAACATAAGAGAGGTTACCCCTTGTGTGTAATTCTCTACTTAGGGAACAGGCAAGTGTGCTTTTTCCTGCAAAAGTTGAGACCAAATCTTCAAAATAATGGTGACATATGTTACAAAATTGAGCATATGAAACAATTTAATGCCACAAAATATTTCTGACCAAAATATCTAGCTGAATATGGGACAGGCAATTTCTCCTCAATCTCTTAGGCAGTTCAAATGAATATGCGAGAGACATTTTCTTGTCAACCTCTTAATGCAATTCCAATTTCGGGGGAGAACGAGTGTAAGACTAATTCCAGGATGCAAATCACCAAGGTTAGTGCAAGAATGGAATAAGCAACAGCAAATTAATACTACCTGATCCACTGAGACCTGTAATCCATACAACACATCCCTGTTGGTTAAGCAGCTTTTCCCTCTCTGCCTTTCCAACTGGACATTCATGCCAGAATATGTTTGCAGGATTTCCCAAGGTAGACATCAAGAAACAGAAAGCGGTATCCCTCCTATTCAGACAGTTAGGTGTATCAGAACAGTTACTTCTTTGACGTGTTACATATTGATCCTCATTTACCAATACTTCCGACAGATGTAAGAAGAGAAAAGACTTCAATTTCAGAATCCAAGTGCATTAATTTTTTCTTCCGATCTTTCATTAAAGAAGCACTACTTGAAACTAAATTGCCCCTTTTTCTTCTGATCTTCATAGAAGAAGCACTTCTTCGAGACTAACTTAAACAAGTTATGAGCCCAATTTGGAGGAAAAGAATGTTATCGAGAAACATAAAGTAAAAATCGAGAAGCATTTGAAAAATGAGTTGAGAAGCATTAGAAGGAAACCATGATGGCTAAAGCAGTAAAGCTAACGTAGATAGGCTATATCTATATCTTGCCCATGTTAAATCAGAGGTACTAAAATTGCTTCAATACAAAAGAGGAAAAAAGAAAAAGATGAACCATGTTGGATCTAGTGATTATACGGCTGCCAGGGGATGGATTTCTTATTTGACTGAGTAGATTTGATCACTAAGCTGTGATCAATATGCAGTATATGATGGAAAGGCTCTTTTTTTTTGGAAAAAAATATAGTATCCGATGAGAACGCAATTAGTGAAAAAAAGTGTTTTTGAGGAGCAGCAGAAGCAGTATTGAAGAAGTATAAAAAACGTAGTTTACTCTACCTAAAAACACTTTTTTTAAAAAGCACTTTTAGAGAAAAATACACTTAGAAGCAGTTTCTAAAAGCTCGGCCAAACACTAATTGCTGCTCAAAAGTGCTTTTCAAATTATTAGCCAAACACTAAACTGTTTACTCGCCAAAAGTGCTTTTAGGAAATAAGCTGATTTTTGCAGCTTGGCCAAACAGGCTAAGTTCAGACAAGAATTGTAAGGTTCTTTTTGGTTACTATCTTCCAAAGAAAAAATGTATACACAAGCATGGCATAAAGGAAATGGAAATGCAACAACCTAATCTAGGTATTGTTTTCTTCTATATCTTGTATGTAAACAAGAGAAAAATAAATGTATAGTATAAATATATTTTACCCCACAAACTCATAACAGTTACCATAAAATTTCCCACTGGGAAAATGGGTTCATGATGCAAAGAAAAATGAAGAAGCTCAAAGAGTTGTACGTCAAGTTTGCGCGATGGTACCTAGCCGTTAGGGTCAGTTAAATAGCTAGGTGGTTATTAGTTTTAGGGGTGACACATTAGTCCCTCATCATAGTTATTTTTAACTTTCTACAAGTTACAATTAGGTCCCTGTATTTAGTCGACAGAAGGGCATATGGTCCACTAAGTTAGTTACACTATTTTGTCTTGTAGTGTCAGGGAATCTACATATATTTGTACTCCTCCAGATGATGACACACGGAGAATATTTTCTTCTGCCCTAATTTATCTTCCTTTTGTTTTCTTTTGCATTTTTCCTTTACTGTTTTATTGAGCTCATACCATTTGGTATCAGAGCACGACTTGGTTCTGTGGGTAATGGCGGAATTAGCTGAGGTCATGAAGATGTTGCACCAACTATCAACTGATATGACTGGATTCGCAGCTTGACAGAACCAGTTGGAAGCTGACCATGAGCAGTCGAGTAAGCACCAAGAAGCAGCATTGAGTAAAATTAGGGAAGTGTTGAATGAAGCCATTCATGGGGGAAAGAGACCTGAAAGAGATAAGGGATTAAATTCCACTGGTGGAGAGTTGTATTCACCCAGCGATAAGCCACTTGAACTAGGTGAGTCTGTTACCCCTTCTTCTTCAGCTAGTATCAGTAGTTCGATTCCCTTAGGAACAGGTAGCAACACTGTTCCATTGAATGTTAACAATCAGATCCCTATTCCTCAGTTACCCCTACCTGGCCCTTCTGTTAATTGTAATCCTCTTCCATTCCCAATATACCCCAACTATAACTCATCAACCTCCTTAACACCAGGCCGAGCTGCTATACCCCAGCTCAACCAGAATCAAACATCACAACCAGTGTTTTCTCCTCAACCTAGGGGTGCTAATACTCACTACCAGCCTTATCTCACACCTCAAGGGGTTAGTAGAACATATTACCCTGCCCAAAACATGCCAGTGTCATATGCTCCTTACCCTCCAACGTATTTCCCTCAACCTACTCATATTTCACCATCCCAATATAACCAGCTACCTTACACTCAGCCTGTCCCTGCACAAGTCCCTTATCAGAATAACCCCATCTATGCTAACCAGCCAAACTCCCAAAGTGTAGCCTATCCTAACCTACCCTTCACTAAATACACCAAGGTAGAATTTTCCAAGTTTGATGGTGAAGATTTGAGAACATGGCTGTATAAGGTGGAGCAGTTCTTTGTTGAAGAGGAAGTTACAATACAACAAAAAAAATGAAGCTGGTGTCTCTTCATTTTGAAGGGGATGCACTTCAATGGCACTTGGGGTATATGAGGAGTAGGGGGCAGTCACCTCTTCCCTCCTGGGAGGAGTACATTTGGGCATTGTGTGACACCTTTGGGGCTGAATATACTGATCCTATGACTGAGATTATGAACATCAAACATACAGGGACAGTAAAGGATTATCAAAGGTCCTTTACTAATGTGATGACTAGACTGAACATAGCTGTAGAACATGCCATCAGCATATTTCTAAACAACCTTAAACTAGAGCTCAGCAATGCTGTAAGGATTGGCAACCCTGGCACACTACCTCATGCCTTTTACTTGGCTAGATTACTGAAGCTAGCTTTGCAGCCAAAGCAAAGTCCTAAAGGCAAGCAACTCAGTGTCATCTATGCACAAGGGAAATGCAGGACAAGGATCAAGTAACTGGCCTAGAAATAACATAAATACATTTAAGAGGCCAACTACAGCTAAGTTTGACACTAGTAGGAGAAGGAGACTAAGTCCAGCAGAGATGGAGGAAAAAAGGGCTCAAGGGTTACGTTTCTTTTGTGACGAGAAGTTTGTACCTGGCCATAAATGTCAAGCTAAGAGGCAATTTTTTCACTAGAATTGGAGGTCAGGTGAAGTGCCATTAGAAGTAGGAGGAAGAGAAGGATGGCAAAAGNNTGTCAGAGGCACAAATATGACAATGCCCCTTACCCTGGGCTACTGCAACCACTCAAGATACCAGTGGCAGCCTGGAGCAGCATCAGTATGGATTTTATAGATGGATTGCCTAAGTCAAGAGGGAAGACAGTTATTTGGGTAGTAGTGGATAGACTAACCAAATATGCTCACTTCCTAGCTCTTTCTCATCCCTATTCTGCACATGATGTTGCTAAGCTATTTATGGAAAACATATACAAGCTACATGGAGTACCTGAGAGTATCATCAGTGACAGAGATCCCATTTTTACCAGTAAGGTCTGGCAAGAACTGTTCTCTATGCTTGGAGTCACACTCAGCACCTCCACTGCTTATCATCCCCAAACTGATGGGCAGACAGAGGTTGTGAATAGGTGTTTGGAGACATACCTGAGGTGTTTCTGCTCAGACTCACAATCAGATTGGGTACAGTTTTTGGCTGCAGCAGAGTGGTGGTACAACACAACCTTTCACACCTCTATACAAAGCACTCCATATGAAGCACTATATGGACAGCCACCTCCATTACATCTACCTTATATGGCTGGGGACTCTCTAGTGGAGGAAGTTGATAGGAGTTTAGTGACTAGGGAATTCAAGACACAGTTGAAATATCACCTGAAAAGAGCTCAACAAAGGATGGTAGAGCAGGCTAATAAACATAGATCTGATAGACAGTTCAAAAAGGGAGACTGGGTCTATCTCAAGATCCAGCCCTATAGGCAACTCTCCATGGCAGGTAGGCACTTCACTAAACTCTCAGCGAGGTACTATGGTCCTTATCAAGTGCTGCAAAAAGTAGGACCAGTAGCTTACAAGCTCTCCCTACCATCTCAGCTCTTACTACACCCCACTTTTCATGTTTCTCAACTTGTAGCTTGCCATGAGTTACCATCCACTATAACTCACCCACCTGTGGTTGAACTATCTAGTCCCTACTGTCCCCAACCAGAAGAAGTATTGGAAAGGAGGTTGATTCAAAAGGGGAATAAGGCTGTGGCTCAAGTGTTAGTTAAATGGAAGGAGCTTCCACCAGAATTAGCTACATGGGAAGATTACTCAGCATTGAAGATATGATTCCCATCCTTTCTTCCTTGAGGACAAGGAAGGTTTCAACAGGGGAGAATTGATGCAAAGAAAAATGAAGAAGCTCAAAGAGTTGTACGTCAAGTTTGCGCGATGGTACCTAGCCGTTAGGGTCAGTTAAATAGCTAGGTGGTTATTAGTTTTAGGGGTGACACATTAGTCCCTCATCATAGTTATTTTTAACTTTCTACAAGTTACAATTAGGTCCCTGTATTTAGTCGACAGAAGGACATATGGTCCACTAAGTTAGTTACACTATTTTGTCTTGTAGTGTCAGGGAATCTACATATATTTGTACTCCTACAGATGATGACACACGGAGAATATTTTATTCTGCCCTAATTTATCTTCCTTTCGTTTTCTTTTGCATTTTTCCTTTACTGTTTTATTGAGCTCGTACCAGTTCATGACAAATCTAAAATAGAACATTATTCAAAAAAGTCAATCTTTTTTTACCAATCTTGGAGCGAATAAAAACAACAAAATAAAGATAGCTGAAATCTAAACAATATTCACCTCTAGGCAAAAGAACTAAGAAAGCCTCAATAGGAAAATCACATTATGCAGAAAAGCTAAATCAACGAGTAAGAAACTACAAGGAACACAAATACATTACCCACATAAAGAAATCAAATGATCAAGAAAAGATCTTGAGAAGGTAAAACTGGAATACCTGTGAAAGAAGACCCAGTAAGCAGAAACTGAAGAAAAACTATGAGCTCTAAAGGGGCAGGCAAATATGCGTATTAAAACTGGTAAATATGTCTTGAGAATTTGATGAATGTAGACGTAATTAGTGAGACAAAGGCTGAGAATACACCAGTGGAAAAGAGTCTACTGAGGACAGGACGTGTGAAAGAGTGCAATGGCAAAGATTGTGCGGGGAATTTAATGATGACGGTAGGTTTTGCTGACAAAAGTGCTACGCACAAGGCCCTGGCATTTATTTTGATAACTGATGAGTCTATTACGCTACCTTCAGTTAATGAAACTAATTTCACGTTTAATTAATGAGTCTATTTCCCTTTTAACTCTGTTTAGACTATAAGCCTGTTTGGGCTTCTACAATCACCATATTTTGAAAAGTAAATTTTTTTTAAAAGTACTTTTGATAAAAAATAATTTGTGTTTGGTTATTCAATTTAAAAAATAATTTTGAGCAGCAATTAGTGTTTGGTCAAACTTTTAAAAAGTACTTATATGTGTACTTTTCTCAAAGTGCTTTGTAAAAAAGTATTTTTGGGAAGAAACAACTTTTTCTACTTCTCAAAAATTAATTCTGCTTCTACTCAAACCATTATCAACAGAAAGTGACGAGTTCTTAACTTTAATCAATGAATTTGGTAACGCATCAAAATCGAGTTTAATTTTGAAAGACCTTTTGTTTACCCAAAAAAATGAGTGACAATTAAATTTGTGTGCATTTTAAAATATATGTGTGATTTAATTCAACACGAATTATTAAGAACAACAGGTGAATGAGTTAAAGAAAAAATAAATGATCAAACCAATCGCAATGTAGTGACCAAGCATGATCTTAGATTGAACAGTGGACGTCGTCCTCGATTGGACCCTCGGTACAAGCTCAGTCGGGAGTGAAGAAAAGAACAAATGAGTAATGCTTTTAACAATAGCTAGAAGATAAAAGTAAACTTTTATTGCTTTGATTTGCGTGTCATCAAGTGTCAGAATAAAGAAAACCTTCCCCTTTATATAGTAGGGGAATTTAAGTCCTAGTACAAGGCTAAATAAGTTAAAAATCTTCTTATTCCGATAAATGTTGATCTATAGTTGATACTGAACGGGATTCGCACCATAATATTCGGTGGGGGGCAAATATTACGGTCCCCTACTCGTCATACATACCCTTTCACTGCTTCCCCCGAGATCCAGAAACTATACTTGATCCGGGTCCGTCATTTTACCGTGTCTGATCTCAAATATATCGTTCATTCCTCCCGGATTATGATACGAGGGGCTCCTAGGCCTCGATCATGTCGAGTCGTGCTTCCCCTTCGTTTCCTAATCGGGGAATCGGGAAAAACTCTGCCCCCAATTTTACCCGTATACAGATAGTCCTCTCGTTTTCCGGAGAGTAGATTTATCGAAGCAACAGGAAGCGATAAGTTAGCCCTGGTTCCTTCTTCTGTACGTTATAACCGAGTTGATATGTCAGCGAAACGTCACATGAGTCGCTTCGTTCTCACTTCGGACAAGTGCCAGTCGCTGGTTGACCGTCCCGAATGTGAAACGTCATGCATTTATTACCCTTTCTCTCTAAAAGCTCTGACCCCTTTTTTATTTTTTACTTTCCGATTCCAGAGCTCCTTGATTTACCCTCGAATTCTTCACTTAACTCTAATCTCTTCAAATCTTCATACATTGTTTTCTAGATCTTCATCTTCAAATCATCATACTCTTTCTTTAAATCTTCAAGTCAGAGCTTCATACCTTCATCCCTATCTTCAAATCTTCATCCTCATCTTCAAACCTTCATCCTTACCTCCAACCTTCATATTTTCCAGAATTCGATAGCAAAAACTTTCAAATCTGTGCCTCAACAGACCGTCCCTTCAACTTCAACCCGGTTACAAATGCCGAGGTGGCCGTTCCTGAGGTGGCCCCGGAGCCTCCTTTGAAGAGCTTCATCCCCGGGGGCTGCTCCATTGAGAAGGACTTTAAAGTCGAGAAGGCCTCCAGTCAACAGGATCGAGGCGAGGGATTATAGAGGTACATATGCTCCGTCACTGAGGACACACTCCCTACAGTTCGGGTGGACTGCAACTGGAAAGGCAAGGAAGTGGTCGTCCCCTGGCCAAACGAAGACATTACCACTCACATGAAGGGGTATTTAAGTGTTTACACTTACTCTTTCATGCTCGCCCCGGTGGACCCCATAATTCTCGGCTTCTTCAAAAGGTATGAGGTCTGCCTAGGGCGGATTCACCCGTATTTTTGGAGTATCATAATCCTCCTCCGCCACTTCGTCAACAACACCAAAGCACCTCGGTTTACCCTCAACCACCTACTTCGTCTGTACATTCCCCAAGTTTTTTTAGGGGGGTTGATCAAGCTCGTTCGTTGAGCAAGCAAAGCTCTGTTCTCGAGCATCGATGAAGATCGAGATCGAGGTTGGCAAGGGACTCATCCCATAAGTTTTCTCTCCTTCCTGAATATTTGGTACTTCCTTTGTCTTTTTCTAATTTCATGTGCCTAGCGTTGTGCAATGGTCGCCCAAGTTCCCAATGTAGTCTCCCGCTTCAAGGAGTGAATCAATGGGATCTGCAAACAAATGTCTTATTTTGAGCACGAATAGCATAAACTCTCAAAGGGCAGGTGGGAGGCCCGTTCCCATGGTGAGTCCTTCCCCTGAACAATTCTTTTCATACTTAACTTTTATTTGTGCTAAGTCTTTTTCCCTTTAACAGGTTTTCCCAAGACTACTGAGCTTCGGCCAATGGATGATGACGAGGCCCCGTCCTTGCTTGTTGAACCCTGCACTTCGGGATAGCCGAAGCTGCTGCACGGAGGGAGAAAAAGAAGAAAAAGAGGAAATCCTCTGGCTCCCCGGACGCCGAGGTCAAGGAGAAGAGGGTAACTATTCGGGTCCAGAAAGCAACAAAAAGAGTACCAGGCCAAAGCCAGGGTATCGGGACTTGATTCCCTCTTCTAGCTCAGGGATTACCCTGCAGACGATGATCTGGAGTTTTTTGCTCATGGGCCGACCATCAATGAAGGAGAACAGGCGGCAACTGGGGAAGGTGACCGAGAGGCCATCCCCCTTTAGCTCGGGAGCCAGAAGGAGAATTAGAAGCCACGACCTCCTGAGAAATCACCCCTGCCCCGATGGAAGTAGTCGGTATCATCGACATCGCAGAGTTGCCGCCTCACATAGAGTCTATGTTCGACGAGGCTCAAGCCGACCAAGAGAAATCAAATGAGATGACACAGGGCGCAGATGAGGCCCTCAAATCAAACTTGTAGAATTTACTTTGGCATGACCTTCTTCTATCACCGAGTTCATCAGCTGTACCACTGCCCCCGAGTCGAATTCATCGGAGTCGACAGACGACCCCAAGTTGGCCAGTACATCGTCCTTACTATTTTTATCCCGAGGTACGCGCTACAAAATCCATTTCTTGAATTGGTGTAGGGTCGCATGCAATTTGTCCAAGTACCTCCGCATCTGTTCCACTTTTACTTCAAAATTCCATTTACTTGATTTACAACGAGGATGGAGTCACATTTGGCTTCTCTCACTTCGGCTCCGAGGCTCTTAGCCAGTTCTAGACCTGCAATCATAGCTTCATATTCGGCTTCATGTTAGTCAATTTCACAATTCTAATGGATTGTCTAATTATGTTACCCGCATGTTGTTTTAAACGACATCGAGTCCGGACCCTTTCGCGTTGAAGGCGTTGTCCGTGAATAGGGTCCAGATCCCCGAGCTAGTCCCCGGGGTGAGCAACAATTCCCTTTCAACCTCGGGTATTAAGGCCGGCATAAAATCGGCCAAAAAGTCTACCAAAATATGAAATTTTATGGCAGTCCGGGGTTTGTACTCTATATCGTACCCCCTAATCTCTACAGCCCATTTGGCCAGCCGACCCGAGAGCTCAGGCTTATGCATGATATTCCTCAGTGGTAAGAGGTTACGACACATATGGGGCGGCATTAAAAGTATGATTTTAGTTTTCTAGAAGCACTCAGTAAGGCGAGCGCTAATTTTTCTAGGTGAAGATACCTTGTTTCAGCATCGCCTAGAATTTTACTAACATAATAAATGGGAAATTATGTTCCTTATTCCACCCGGGCATACGAACCTGGATCTGCACAAAAAAAATGTATAGAAGCATAGTAACACAATAATGGTACCAGTAAGTATCGAGCCTAACCTCAGTAGAGTAGTGACGACGCCAAGTCAAGACACCTACTAGGATATAAAATAGATAGTATGAAATGTAACACAGATATGTAATAGAAAGTGAAGAAACAACTGATACAAAATAAGATAATAGCATGAACTAGTACCAAAAATCAATAATAAAAATAGTATAAAAGAAGCAACTAAAGGGCTACAATGATCATGTACCGACAACAACTAATAGAATAATAAAGAATGAAATAACAAGATATATTCCCCACCAAAAGACTTTGCAACATGAAATAAATAGCAAAAATCACATCGAGGTACCGCCTCGTGTATAATAAAATCAAAACTGAGGTACCGCCTCGTATAATCAAGAATCACAACTGAGGTACCGCCTCGTATTCACATTTTTCAATTTCAATCACAATCTTTCCTTATACCGCCGCGTGAGCCTTACATTTGAAATAGGTTTTGAAAATAGCTTTTCCGAAATAGCTACACACACTTTAGCCCATCTTATGACGTCGTGTGGATTCATATAGTTCCCCTACAAGCAACACGCACATAAGTCTCATCTTATACCGCCGCATGCACATTAACCCCAAAAGAGGTACACAGATGACCTGCAACAACTGTTATGCTAAAAGCCATAACAAGAAAGGTTGTCACAAGGCTACACAAGGTACTGCAAGATCAATTGGTGGTGCAAAGTCATCAAGTATTGATTTTTCATCAACACCTTCAGTTCAAAATGTACCAAAAACAAGAACATCAAGAGGAAGAGGAAGACCAAGAGGTTCAATAAAACTGGTAATTACTCTGAAGTTACTTTTATAGACTGCATATTTGTAGGTTTGTTTTATGTTTAACCTCTTAATAATTTGTACTTTTTATAGGATATTGCTATTGGTATAGGAAGTGGGACACCTTATAAAAGGCCAATAATGGTTGGTATGGGAATTCTACAAACAGAAAGTGGAGCTTCCATCTATAATATAAGCATATAATGTCTACTGTGACTATGAACTCATTTTTATCAAACTTTGATATAAACTAACTAAGTTTGTTTCTGTGAATATAGCCTGTCATGTCAACTG